TTCCCGTAGCAGGTTTTAGTAGCTCCACCTTTCAGATGCGAGTAGAGAGAGTCGAGGACATGGACCGTGTGTTTGCAGTCACATGCTAGTCCGTGGCTAAGCCAAGGCTCAGAGCCAGGGCTTGCGTGCGTCAGCTGCACTTCATTCCACAGGGGTTCCTCAAAGTGTCTTCACTAAGTGTGCCATGGGACGTCTCACACCCCAGGCACACCTCAGCCATTCTAAAAGTGCCCGAGCTATCAACTCAAAAAAGTTATTCTCCTTACATCCTCTCTAGATGAAAAAAAAAAAAAAAAAAAGAAAAAAGTTATTCGTTTCCATGTCATGAGCTGAAATTTATTGAGTGCTTACTATATGTCTTGTATTCTCATAAGCATTATTAATATATAGTCACTCTCAGTTACAAGGCTTGTCTGTGATGTGCAAATTTATTCATACAAGGTGGACATATAGAAGGTAGAATCCCCAAGACACAAAATCATGATAGATCATGCACAATTTTTTTACAGCTGACAATGACTTATACCACCTAGCAGCACCAAGTAAATGAAAAAATGCCAACCTCTTAAATTCAGTGACCATGGAGAAGCGCAAACACACACCTGCCCTCATCTTTCCTCCCTTACCCCACTGGACCTGCAAGTGCGTGTACATTGCTGTCCTCTCAAATTTGTGTGATTTTTTTTGCTAAAAAGTATTTACTGCAACATCCCAAACACGAATAAGCATCCCGAGTGGATGAATCCACATAGGAAATGAGAAGAGAAAACCTTAAATCCTAAGGAGAGGCTTAAAATAACAAAATATTTTTTAATGAAAAAAAAAATATTTAGAAAGAAACAAGAGAACTTGTGATATCACAAGAACAAGAGGTTTAAGGGGGTTCGTGTTGTGCACCGCTGGTGACAACTGCAGCCAAAATAAAAGAAAACTATTAAACAGGAGCAACTGTGAAGGCTGCAAAACCTCTTGAACAAGCCTAACTAAGGAGGCTGTACAGAATGTGAATGATAAGGTAGACGATGATGATGAAAGCCCAGTGGCTGCCTCCCACAGTGGAACAGGCCACAGTCCTCTTCTGCGGGAAGTGGGCTGATGGACGCCTGCAGGGACTGACGGCAACAACCTAATGCCAACCAAAGCACCCAACACCTGGTGGCCTCTCACCTCACGTGGGGCCATACATGCAGCTTCTTAAAGAGAGGAGAAAATGGTAAAACAACAAACACTAGATTTCTACTCTAAGTTAATGCAAAAGGAAAACAGAACAAACCATAGCACCTTTGGTGCTATAACATTTTGTCCTACTATTTCCTCCTTCTCCATAAAACTGAAGCCCCCACATTGCACCATGTGACTCACCAAGCAAGCCTTGTGCTTTCTGTAAAGTGAAGTGCTCTGTGTACCATAGTATTTTTTTAATTTATTAGGGATCTAAGATACTTAAAATTTTTTATTAGGGCTTTTTAGAAGAGTATTCCTTACTAGACCATACAGGTATTGAGTGTTCTGCTCAATTCTAATTTTCCCAGAAGCCTCATCATTTTTACTGCATGAAATTCTATAATGCCTTGATTTTTAGGAAAACATATATTACATTGTAGGAGAAACAACTATATTATCTCATTTAATCCTCATCTTACCCCATTTTACAAGAGAAAACCTTGGGTGTGGATTTCACTGGACATCAAAATCTCATATCTTGTGCACCCTCTCCCAACCTGTGTTCGCCTTCTTTCTTCTCATGCAATGTTACTTGAGTTTCTGCACCACTCAAAATTCTCTTCCTAGGACATCGTGCTGAAAGAAATCACACATACTAAAAGGAGGGTGCTTGCTTGGTATTAAAATGGAAACTGGTTTCTAGTATTTAGGTCAAAAGTTCACACACATACACACTTCTCAAGAGAAGTTCTTAAGACCAAAAGAAAGAAACAGAGGGACTACCAAGAAATAGATCCTGGGGTGAAACAATCCAACTGGCAAAGTGAAATATCGTAGGCAATTTTCCCAAAGCGACTGATAACTATTGAGTTACTTTCCCCAAGGTCAGCAGCAGAGTAGGAATTAGAAAGACCAACACGGGACCCTTCTCTACTCCTTTTAAATATTGTGTTTCTGTTGCTTGGAACATTCATACTTCTGCATCAGACTGTTCTCCTTGCTATATTTCACACCCCCTCTGGCTTCACATCAGAAGAACGAGGTCAGCATTTGTTTGTAATGGAATAGGGGTGAGATGGTGAATAATACAGATGTATATTTTACTTGGAACAAATGCAATTCACCTTTCTTCCCTGAATAAACTCAGATTTTGAGAGAGGCTGCAGTGTATAAGCCTTCAAAAGGAGGCCTTCCTTGGCTATTCAAAACATATTTTATCAAACCACAATATAGTCCTGTTTCAAGCAAGAAGCACCTACAAAGAAAAAGACAGTTTCTGTAAGACAGTTGTTGGATTTTTGGTTTGTTTTGGATGGTTGTTATTTCTTGTGGGGAGAATTTTAAATGTTAACAGAAAACCCAGATTGTGTTGGTGGAATTGAGGGTGGAGGGTTTCGATGAATGGATTCAAATAAGTACATCTGTAATATCTGAGCATGGTACGTTTTCTCAGGCCCTTTGCTTTGGGTTTTTAAGAGAGATTCAGAACAAATGTTACTACATTTATTTAAAGCAGAACCTTAAGGCCAAGGTGAAGAGAATCAATTCTGATCAGCTCTTGAAATGGTGGCAGCACAGGATCAATTTTGTAGCACACAATGGATTATCTCACATTTGGAACTAAAGATACAGAACATAAAATGTTCCATTAGATCCTTATTTTATTTCATTTGTGGCCACATGTGTGTGTCTAATCTTGACCACAGAATCAGAATGTTGAAAAGACTTCGAGGTTCATCAAATCCACACCCACGCCTATGGGAGGACCTCCCACTAAACCTCCAGGCACATGGGGACATACCCTGTTTTTAAAGACCTCCTTGAAGTTTTACAAAAAGTGTTCAAACACCAGCTCTCCTACCAGCAGTCTACTGGGCTTGCTGAATTTGCACTGGCAGCACACCCATTAATCAACCCCACCCCAGTTTATTGGAACAGGCCCCTTTACTCTTTAAGTACTCCAACATCTGCCCATGGCTTGTGTAGCTCTGGTGCCTAGGGCCAGCATAGATCTGTTCTACTCTCCTTTGAGGTGGAGTCACAGCTGTCTGTGGCTCTCAGGCAGCCAGAGCCCCTCCTATTGTCCCCCACGGGGCCATTGGCAGCTCTAGGGCTTCTGAGAGGCTATGGGGGGGGGCAAATTCCTAGACATTCAGGAGCTTTGGTGTGTTTTATCCTTTGCAAGGAAAAATGATTCACAGATCTTTTATTAGGGAGGCTACATGGGACACCTGATATGAAATATTTGCCTTTTTAAAAAAGCAATGAATTGATCTTCATTTAGCTACCCCAAATCAAACTTCTGATCAGGCCTCAAGATTTGCAAGAGCAACTTCTAACAAAAGTCTTACTCTGCTGGCTTGAAATAGCAGGGGAGGAAACTTCTTCCCTTGATTAATATGAAAAAATGTGAGGTGCTAGAAATAGCCCCAGGACTAAAGAAATAGGTATTAAGAATGATGTTTCCCAGGAAATGTTTATGGCCAGAAACCTAAATCGAGAATGAGGAACACTCAATATGCATGGGAGGGGAATGTCTGCTTTCCTTGCCTCTTACATCATTCCCCTTCAGAGTAGCTCCTGAAGATGTCTTTCCTCCACCTCCCTGGCAGTGTGTTGAGCATTCCCCATGTTGATCATCGAATGGCCTGAGAGACACATAGGGAGGCTTAGCAGTAGCACTGATCAAAGCAGCTCAGATCACAGCAAGAAGATGAGGAGTTCACTCCCCACAGCCTTTAGCAGCCCAGCCTGCCTGGAGACGGGCAAGGCGATCCGCCCACTATGCAGGGCTGAGTCATGGGTGACTGTCTGCTTCCATTTCAGCAACAGAAGCAGAGAGGCCTTGAGCTATATGGAGCAGGGTACCAGAGTGATCATCCCTGCAGTCTAGAGACATATCCATGGGGTACAGGTGTGACCATCACCTGCGGTCTAGAGACATATCCCTGGGGTACTGGTGTGATCATGGCCTGAGGTCTAGAGACATATCCCTGGGGTGCTGGTGTGATCATCCCTGCAGTCTAGAGACATATCCATGGGGTACAGGTGTGACCATCACCTGCGGTCTAGAGACATATCCCTGGGGTACTGGTGTAACCATGGCCTGAGGTCTAGAGACATATCCCTGGGGTACCAGTGTGACCATCACCAGTGGTCTAGAGACATATCTCTGGGGTAGAGGTGTGACCATCGCCTGCGGTCTAGAGACCTATCTCTGGGGTACAGGTGTGACCATCGCCTGCAGTCTGGAGACATATCCCTGGGGTACTGGTATAACCATCGCCTGCAGTCTGGAGACATATCCCTGGGGTACTGGTATAACCATCGCCTGCAGTCTAGAGACAGACATAACCCTGAAAGAAACCCAAGACCCTGCTGAAGAAGGGGGAGGTTCAGGATCAAACTCCTCAGGTGGTGTAGATTTTCAAAAATCCAGGCCCGTCAAATCCAGGAGTGTATCTCAGAGTACTAGATAAACTAGCTACCTCCCTACAGATGATGACACTTGCTACCCTTTAACTTGCTGCTGGTTGTTTGCTCCCTCTTGAGTAAAATCAGATTTTGATATTTAGTATGATAATTATCAAAAGTCCTCCTCATTCATCATAATCATCTTTTGACTTCCCTTACCTGTTTCTACATTCGCTGAAAAATTCCAGGCGAGCTACTATGACCCCAAATAGCTCAGATGACCCTCAATGGATGTGCGAATTTGGGTCACATTAAGTCAGGGGTCACATTAAGCTCGGGTCATCTTTTCTTTCAAAAGGCGAATTTTCCCAGACTAACTAAGGACAATTCTATATGGCAAACAGATTGCTTGAACAAAACAGCTTCATGTGACTTTTAAAGAAAGCATATAAATTATACCATCGTAAATCTTTCCCTTTTCAGGTTTGTAACTGGAGTGTCACAAACATGAGACTTGATCATCTTTGGTTCAGGGTCCAGATGTCCGTCTTCGGGTGAGACCCAAGTGCTTCTTACAAAGGGTAGCAGCGCCCTCTGCTGGCTCATAGGGGGCTCCGCTCATAGGCTGAGTTTTTACAAGGTGGAAATCTGGGTTTGAAGCCCTTTGATGCAGAAACCCCTCGTAGTTAAGAGGGGAAATGAGGTTTTGAATGCAACGTTCTTCATTTCCTCAGCAATGCACACTGCAGCAAAGAGAGTTTCATATTTCTTCCATTATTATTTCTAGCATTTAATATAGCCAGTCACATTAGAACTGATGACATCTCCGTGGCATTGTTCCCCATTACTAATGGTGTGAGGCAAAACTATGGGCAGGAGTCAATTCTTTCCACTCTTTTTAATAGCCCCCTACCCCAGCTTATAGACCAGCATGACTGGCAGTCACTGAGGGGGTCCCTTAGGAGCCACAGTAGGATGAGGACAGCCCATGTGAGCTGACGGCCCCTGATTCCAGGCCACTCGGCTTGTTGCTCTGGAGATTGCCTGAGTCTGCAATAAGGAATCTCGCAGCCGTCCAGACATACTGTAGAGTATCAATACTGATCTGAAGGCAGCTGTCAAGCTCAAACACCTCAACCATTTACCTCCAAAGGAATCCCTGTGAATTCAGAAAACCAAGGGACCCAGTCGGTGGCTGGGGTAGATCAAACAACAAAAATTTCACAAAATTCAACAAACATCTAGTAAGCACTTACACTGTTCTGGCGCCATGTGGGCACAAGGAAACAGTCGTGAGCAAGAAGCAATGCCTGCCTTTAATGGAGCCTGTTGTCTCAGGGAGAAAACAAGCAACAGAAAGTCCCAAAAATGAATTACAAACCACGACAAAGGACATGAAGGGAAGGTACACCATGCCATGGGGATATATAGTCTAATGCAGTGGACGCAGTTTCCCTAAGAAAGTGACATTAAAGTTGAGATAAAAGAGACAAATATGTGTTATTGGGGGGGGGGAGGGCGTCCAAGGCAGAGAGGGACAAGACACTGCGTGTGAACCTGCCCTGGGCATCCATGTCTTTATGACATTATTTCTACAAAATCAACTGAAAAATATAAATAAAAGCAAATAAACCTTTCCCAGCAATGGACCAAATTCCTGCAGCAAAATGAGTTGTGGGCTTCTGTGCAGGGGAAATGGGAGGAGTGGCCAGGCCTTCTACAAAGTGAGCGTCCTTCCAGTTTTCATCTACCTGCTGGGGACTGTGGGTCCATCTACCCCTGAGCTCTTTGCTCCATCTCTGCATACTTTTAGCCTGTTGCCCCATGCCCCCAACTCCAGGGTTCTCCTTTATGTGGGCAACATCTACTTACCAGGATCTCTCCATTCACCAGGCGCCAGGCATTCTTCCTGTACTTAATAGTCACTCTACACTAAAACGTCCTAGAACTGTACACTGGTCTCCTTTGACCATGCCTCAGCAAGGAGATCTGCAACATGATTTTATTTATTTATTTCTGCTATTTTAACAAACATTCATGTGGCGCTAACTACATGCCAGGCAAATTTTAAGTGCTTAACAAATAGTAACTCATTTAATCCTAATGATAATCCTGTGGGAGAGTTACTAATATTATCCCAATGTTGCAAATGAAAAAACTAAGGCACCAAAAAGATAAGAAACTTCCCTGAGGTCATTTAGCCCAGCTACAATTTCAGCCCGGGGCAGTCGGCTTCCAGAAGCCGAGCTGGAAAGCACTGCTCCATGCAGCCTCCGCTTAGCAGAATGAGTCACTCAACCAACCGCCCTTTTTATCTAGTTGTAAAGTCCATGTCTCAGATGGGTAGGATCCCATCGATTCCACCACCTGACTCCATCTCCAGTCCTTCTTCTTATCTCGCTGTCTTGGCTACTGTACCAGCCTCATTCCTTCACCCCCCACCTGACTATGGCAACACCCCACCATTGGAACCGCTCCCTGCGCCCCAGGTCCCCTCCTCTTCTCATCTATGCTTCAGGCCCTGTCACAACACTCTAGAAACAAAGATTTGTTCTGTTTATAACTTTCACTATCTCACCATCAGCTACAGATTGAAATTAACCCTCAGCCCGATGCTGAGGCTCAGGCCTGTAATCCTAGCACTCTGGGAGTTTGAGACAGAGGATCCTATTTGAGCCTCAGAAGTTGAGACCAGTCTGAGCCCAGAGCGAGACCTCATCTCTATCTACAAAAAAAAAAAAAATAGAAAAGAATTACCAGACAATTAAATTATAGAAAAAGTTAGCCGGCCGTGGTGCGCATGCCTGTAGTCCCAGCTACTCAGCGACGGCGCGAGGCAGAAGGATTCCTTGACCCAGGAGTGTTGCTAGATGCTGTGAGGCTGATGCCCTGGTGCTCTCTAGCTGCAACAGAGTGAACTCTGTCTCAAAAAAAAAAAGAAAGTAACAAGAAAGAAAAATTAACCCTCACACCCAGTCCTCCAGGTGCTGGTCTTAATCTGCCTTTGTACCTCATATCCGAGAGCTTCACCCTGCTTCTCGCACCCAACTCAGACTCACCCCTCCAGCAAGCCTGACCCACCTGCCTTCCCTGCAGCAGATACACTCTCTCAAGGGAGAACAGCACCCTTGGTGCCCACCTGCTGGCCTTTCTCCTGGAAATGTCTTCCCTCCTCTCTTCCAGACTGGGCTCAGCTGACAGCTCCCTGCCAGGTCTCCCCTGACACCCGCCTTCCCCTCCCTCCCCGACATGGTCTCGATTTTCCTTGTGCTGCCTCTAAACCCCGTGTGTAAGGGGCTGGTGCCCGAGTGGGGACTGGAGTGGGGGAATAAGGCACCTAACACAGGGGCAAATTTAACAGGGTGCCAAAACAGTCAGTAATGGAGGAAAAAAATATTTTTGTTGTGGGAAAATACATATAACATTTACTCTTTTAACAAGTTTTAAGCATACAATTCAGTGGCATTAAATATGTTCAATTGTTGTTGTGTGACCGTCACCACCATCCATTTCCAGAACTTTGTCATCCCAAACAAAAGCTCTGCACCCATTAAACAGTAACTGGCTGTTCCCTCTCCCTCCAGCCCCTGGTAACCTGTCTGCTACTTTTGGTCTCTATGAATTTGCTTATTCCAGGAAACTCCTATATGTGGAATCATACAGTATTTGCCTTTCTGTGATTGGCGTATTTCATTTAGCATAATGAAGATAATATTTTAATGCAATAATTTAATAATCAAAATTAATGCCAAAAATCCATTATGAACAAAATATTAAAATGTTAGACAGGCCAGGCATGGTGGCTTATACCTGTAATCCTAGCACTTTGGGAGGCTGAGTGCAAGGATTGCTTGAGATCAGGAGTTCAAGACCAGCCTGGGCAACATAGCAAGACCCCATCTCTACAGAAAATAGAAAAATTAGCTGGGCGTGGTGGCATGCACCTGCAGTCCCAGCTACTTGGGAGCCTGAGGCAGGAGGATTGTCTAAGAGCAAGACCTTGTCTCAAAAAAAAAAAAAAAAAACTTAGACAAAGATAGCATGAGAGTCACTGCTTTTTCTTTTTGCCTCAGGTTTCAATATAGCTCAGTGCTGATCCTGTCTTTATTGAAGATTTTGATATTTTGTTCATCATGGATTTTTTGCATGAATTTTGATTTTTTAAAATACTGCATTAAAATATTATTTGTCTTCATTACAGATTCTTTTTGCACTCCCTTACATTGTGCACCCAAGACAAGTGGCTCCCATGCCACCAGGCCCAGGACTGGTGGTGCTAACCCTTTCTGTGTCCACCACCCCAAATAAAACACACAAGCAGAGTAAGAAATCGTATGTTTGCACACAAACACAGCTTCAGAACAAGTACTGCTGTAGCTGCCCTCAAGCCTCTCTTGTAGTCCAGAGCCACAACCGTGCACAGCTCTCTGCTTGCACGCCCTGCTGTGCTGTGCTCATGCGCCTGCAGCCTGTCTCCCCTTCCAGTGTGCGAGCTCTTTGAAGGCAGAGACAGACTTTTTTCATCTCTGCATTCACACTGAAGTGTTGGGCTCACAGAAGACACTTAATAATTGCTTGTTGAATGAAAAATCCCTCATCTCCTTTTCCCACCATTAATAATTATTTTAAGGTAGCTAAATGAGACTTTGCCCTTATCTAGTTTAGTTACAACATCCCGTAATCCATACAAGCTCATATTAAAGGGATAGTGACCTAGAATGCCCTAACTTTGGCATGCCTCGGAAAAGAACATTTCGGGGTTACCTGGTCTCCTACTTGCTCTTGGTCCTCTAGACCAGGGACAGCCCCTACATTGTCCCCTTGGGTTACTCTGCCTTGAAGGAGGACATGCCCAGAAGATTCTTGGGGCAGTACCCACTTTTGGTTTTCCAAGGCACTGATTCTGCCTCTGTCTCTGCTTGGCAGAGTCTTGTCTGCACGCTGGGCCCTCTTGAGCTGCCTCCCTCCTGGCCTACAGAACCCACTGCACCTCCAGCAGGAGTGCCTGAACTCCCGTTTGGTTTTCTGGTCTTACTTCCTGTCTTGTGGCCACAGTCCTGACATTGGCTCGAAGACTCAAACCACAACCTATAGCCAACGTCCCCTGGATGCCAGATCCTGGCATTATGATTTATAGACTTCTCACATTTGAATTTAGTTTGGACCCCATCATCTCAATTGAGATTTCACTTCTTATTTCATGCCAGTAGAAAACAGGGCTTCCAAATTCTTAAGTGCCTAGAATTGTTCATCTGGCTCTACCTGCAGAAGCCTTTAAAGCAAAATCAAACATCATAACCTCCAAAGTCTCAGCTCCTGAATTTATCATCCACCTCAGAGCCAAACATCCCCACCTCACTGCAGCTCATTTTGCCAATAACTAGGGTTTTGCTTGGATCTATTTTGCTTTAGCTGTTGGATCACTTAACTTTATAACTAGAAAATTTCTTCCTTTCATTAAGGATGCCCACTGTTTTTGAGGTTTCTCCTTCTCTCCTGTCCCCATAAATTATCTTAGTTTGTACAATCGAGATCAACTAGCCAAAGAGGCGTGGTAGGGCAAAGTGCCCAGGTGCAATGAGATGGCAACAATTGTCTTGTAACTGCTGAACCTACCATTTATACAATGCTTTAAAAGAAAGTCTGAGCTGAAACCAATCCAAACTGCTCTTTCCAATTTGATAAATTCCAAAATTAACTTACATATACAGACCAAAACTGGAAGAAGAAATGGAAGAGTTCAAGATATAACACTCAAGTACATCTTAAGACTATGCGAAAACAGCCACCTCAAGAATTTTAGTCCCTCACGCATTCATAAAAATTTAGAGGTAAAAATTCTCCATCATATAATTCAGTGTTTGAAGGTAAGTGAGTTTCACGGCACTAATCCAGAACTCATTCTTTTTTATTTGTTTGTTTGTTCTTGTTTTTGTTTGTTTTTTGAGCCACAGTCTCTCTTTGTAGCCTGGGCTAGAGTGCAGTGGCATCATCATAGCTCACTGCAACCTCCTTCTCCTGGACTCAAGCAATCCTCCTGCCTCAGCCTTCTGAGTAGCTGAGACTACACATTCTACCACACCTGGCTAATTTTCTATTTTTTGTAGAGATGGGAGCCTTGCTCTTGTCTCAAACTCTGAAACTCAGTCAATCCTCCTGCCCCAGCCTCCCAGAGTGCTAGGATTACATGTGTAAGCCACCAAGCCCAGCTTATTCTTTACGTAGAGAGTGACTACAAATAATGAAACTACTTTTCATGTGTGCCATATGAAATTAATTAGATTTATTTATAATGTACCCACCTTGGATAACTTGAATAACTATGCAGTGACAGGAATTATTATTATTATATTCTTTTTATATATACATACTATATTAGTTTGCTAGGGCTGCCATAACGAAGTAACAAGGACTATGTAGCTTAAAAAACAGAAATGTATTGTCTCACAGTTCTCAAGGCTACAAGACAAAGATCCAGATGTAGGTAAGGTTAGTTTCTCCTGAGGGCTCTGGGAGCAGGATCTAGTCCAGGCCCCTCCCTGGCTCATATGACATCGGTGGCTGTCTTCTCTCTATGTCCCTTCACATCCTCTTCCCTCCATGCATATGTGTCTGTGTCCAAATTTCATCTGCTTACAAAAATTTTTTATGCACCAGCTATTTTGGATTGGGGACACCCTGATGACCTCATTGTAATTTGATAACCTCTGTAAAGACCCTATCTCCAAACAGGGTCACATTCTGAAAGTCTAGCGGTTTGGACTCTTAACATAAATTTGGGGGGGAGGGCTTGGGGGAAATAACACAATTCAACCCATAACACATACCACATTCTTGTTTTCATGCCTTACTTCCCTTTGGGAAGGATTTAAGATATCCATATGTATATGTTAACATGAAAATTAAGTTTAGAAAACATATTGGCCTACAAAACACACTCCAGCTTTTCCCATGCTCGTAGAATTTCTGGCAAAGACGCTTCTCATGGTGTGAGCACCAGCCACCTGGAGGACAGCAAAGAAGCAGGAGAACTTCGGGTTTTTTTCTTTGGGGTCCTGGTTTTCTGAGGTTACAATGATCTTTTATCTCATGGAAGGCCATGGAAAGGTTTTAGCATATCTGTTTTATTCTCAGGTTTGCTAAGTTCTATAATTTAAATGGTACATCTTGTCATTTGTTGAAAGAGCAATCTGCCTCACCTTCATCACAGCTGATGCCCATTTTTAACCCCACTCCCATGCCACTTAGTAAGAACGGGCTACATAATTTGTGAGGCCCAGTGAAAAATGAAAATGTGGGGCCCTGTGTTCAGAATTAGAGTTTTAAGACAACATCAGATCATTAAATCAAGTATGAGACCCTTCTAAACACAGAGTCCTGTGCAACTACACAGCTTACATACATTAAGCCAGTCTAACTCAGTGTACTTGAGGTCATTATACCAAATACGCATTTTGCAATGGTGAAAATATTGTAAAATTATTTACTTTGGTGAAGGTTTTCACGGAGGTTGCAAGGCACAATTAACAGGTCTCTACAGCCACCTGTGAAAGGAAGAGGCTGTATTGTTAGTCGAGGTTATGCTAACAATTCGGAGGGTTCTAGGGGGATCTAGATCTCAGATGCTTACCCAAGGTTACCTGTTGTGCATGTCACTGTCAGAGGATAATTGGGAAACAATCTTGTAAGTCTCTTCTCCAAGTGGCCCGGGAGGCTTCCATCTCCAAACTGTACCATCTTGGAGTTCTTTGCAGCTAGCCACAAGGAGGGAAGAGAGAGAGAAGAAAAAGCCCATCCAGTCTTAGCTGCCTCTGATCAGAAATATAGTATCATTTTTGTTCATGTTCTCATTGACAAGAACTCAGTCCAGTGTTCTTAATCGAACTTCATGGGAGGCTGGAAAACATAGCTTTTTTGTCTGCCCAGGAAAAGACAAAGAATTGGGCAATATCTAGCTTGACTCTGCCATAGAAACTATCAGTTTCCATGGAAATAAAATAAATCCATCAACTGTGTATTAACAAAGGACTGTGCTGGTCTTTGAGAAGATGCTAGAGAAAATATTTGAGTTTTCTTCCCTCAAAAAGCTTAGCATTTCATTGTGGAGGTAAGACACACACATACCAAAAAGATCAATATCAAAAGAGGTGATTGTATCAGTGACAAGTTGGACTCTCAGGAAAAAAAAAAAAGAGAGATGATTGTATTATTATGGGATAGGGGATTGGGAAGATTTCATGCAGGAAGTCGTACTTGGGGAGAGGGTGGAAATAAAGACCACCCAAATGAACACAAGCAAAGGCTTTTTATTCAGAGCTTGTCATGGCAAGGGAGTCAGCCACCATCATCTGTATTTGGCAGAGACCCAAGGGCAGGCAAGGAGTTAGAAAGCTTCATAGTGGAAAAAATCAAAGGCCTCAGGCATACCCTGATTGGAGGCTGTTACATGGAGAAGCTGCAGGTGAGCTAACTAAAGTGGGACATCCCACAGGGTTGGTTACGGGTGCATGTTTGACTTTCTCCAATTGGTCCTAAGATGGAAACAAGGGCCTGATTTGAGATGCTGTCAGTTATTAATCAAGTCCTGCCTGTTTGGGCCCAATTGTCACAAGGGTTATTGTTTGGCTTCCTAGACTACTTGCTTGAGTTAGTGGCCTGGCGTCCTATAATTCTGAGTTGTGGATAGCAGGTTGGCTTCCTGGGCTGGTTGCTACAGATTGAGGGTCACAGGTCTGTTTTTATATGTGGCCTACCTATTGTCAGTTTGCATATTTAGTCTCTCAAAAGCTTTAAAAAGAAATGGGAAGGACGGTCTACAAATGGGAACTGCATATGCAGAAATTGTTTTTAAAAGAGGAAGAAGGGAATAGATCAATGTAGTTAGAGTGGATGTTTCATGTTCATTCATTCAGTTATTCATTCGATTAATTAACATGCATTGAGCATCCAGTCCCCACCAGATACTGTGCTTGGTGCCAGTGATAGAAAGAGGAGGGAGACATGGTCCCTGCCTTCAAGCAGCCTATAACTTTTCTTAACCAGGATCCCACAGATGCCCACAGAAAATTATGTGAGTAGCTATTGTCTCAATTTTCCCAAGGATGGAACTAGTACTACACATGCATAGTAGAGAAGTTAATTCAAAATCACATACTGAGTGCCTTAGGAAATTTGGGTTAAAATTTCTCCTGAACTTCCAGCTGAAAAGGGCTGGAAGGAAAAGATATTACACATATATTTGTAAATGTGCAAAATGCCCTATTAATAATGGTTTTTGCCACAATATTGTAAACAACCTAAACATCCATGAGTCAGTTTTGCTAACAGCCTTTTAAAGAAACACTTATGCACTCATAAAAAAGAATGAGAAAGTTCTTTATGTATTGATAAGAATAGATCTCCAAGATACATTTAGAAAAAGAAGCAAGAAGCAGGATTTGTGTATAATATGCTACAGTTATGCAAGACTGTGGAGGATATATTTGTGCTTTTGCTTGTCTATGCTGGTGCAGGATACACAAGAAATTGATAATTCCGATCGCCTTTAGGGGACAGAGGTGGGAGGGAGTATTTTCACTAGAGCAAACATCTGTGCCGGTCGGTTATTCATTAGATGGTGGCGGTATGGGCGAGGCAAGGGAAGAATCACAAGATGATTCCTTATTTCTGGTGTGAAGCAGTAGAAGGATGACAGTGCCAGCTCCAAGATAGAGTATATGAGGGGAGAGATTGAGATGGACTATCTAGATCTCTACCTCTGCTTAGCTGGACATATGGCCTCAGAGCTAGGAAAGAAATCTTGTTCTGGATCTAGTGAATCCAGCAATCCTAGTAAAAATGACCTGTGCCCAACCTGCAGGACTGAGCTGTCCCGGGCTCTGCATGCCACTCCATCACGCTCCTTCACCCCACATTGGACTCCACGACCTCCTACCTGCCTAGGAGGCCAACAGCAGCAGGAACCTCACTAGATAACCTGGGGTTTTTAAAGAACCCCTTTGGGGTATATATTGAAATATTTATATATGAAACGATATAATATTTGAGATTTGATTCAAAATAATGCTAAGAGTTGAAGGGAAGTAGGTGCAGGTATAGATAAAACAAGCCAGCTTGAGTTGATCACTCGTTAATCTGAGTAATGGATACTTATTATAATATTCTTTCTACTTTTATATACATGATTGAAATTTCCCCTAATCCAAAGTTTTTAAAATACCAACACCCAGGCTTCACCCCCAAATAATTAAATGAATCAGATCCCAGGGGTGGGGCTTCGGTAATAATAATGTTTCACCAGGTGATGCCACTTTACAGCCAGGTGATGCCACTTTACAGCCAGGATTGAGAATTGCTGTTAGTCAAGCTGCACCGTCTGTCCTTGCATCATTGCTACTGCGCTCTTCCTGTCCCCAGCTTCAGTCACTTGCTTCTTAGCCTATCCACAAATCCTTGCTGTCTTTGATCTAGCCTTTCAGTGGCTCATTCTGAATCGTAGCAAGGAAAATGGCAAGTGAAAATAGAAGGAAACAGAAAAACATTGTGAATTCCCAAGTGTTTATTAATTTGAATCACATGCTGTCCGTAAACAGAGCACGATGTCAATTTGCTCCTGCTCAGTGACAAATTTCTTTGTGCCCTAAAGACCAGACAGAAACTTGACTTGCTCCAACCAACTTAGTTTCAACCACTGAATTAGAACATATGTACCTTGGAGCACAAGCCCTGTTTCAGAAGCTTCCAGCGGGTGTTTAGTTGATTCCAGTTTAGCCCCATCAAAAGGACAGCCATGCACTGGAAAGAAGCCAGATTTGGGTTTGAAGCCCAATTCCACCCCTTATAAGCTGTGCAATTCAGGAATGTTGTCTTACTGGTCTGGATCTACTTCCTTCATCAATAAAAAGGGATAAAGCACACTTTATAGGATTGAGGAGGAACTTAAAAGAAAATACTATTTAAAGTACTGTGAGGTTACTTGTAGGATTTCAAGAATCATTAGTTCCCTCTTCCTTTCCTGCTCCTTTGTTCATGGTGCCAACATGTGGCAGTATTGGTTCTGGAATTCCTGGCATCTGGCCTCTCTAGAAGGACCATGAAAGGGGCAAGAAAGCACCTATCATATGTAAGGCTGAGTCCAGTCCTCAGGCCAGCCTTCAAGCAGCTGGTGGTCTCCCTGCGGTGACTGTGACCCTGGGCTACTGAGCACTAACTGTTCCCTTCTCCAAGATCAACCCTTTCCTAAATTTGCAACTCTGGAAAAGACCCGCCCTTGGAGACCAGATAACACGGTGAACATTTGCCCAGTGTTTTAGCAACATGTTTCTCGTCCGTCAATTTCATATGGGAAAAGACAGAGTTCATTAAAGGAGGTGGCCAGAAAACACAGGAAATCACATGTCCCCCACGGCAAATGCCCATGGCCCTGGAACCTTTCTCTTAGCTCATGAGGCCTAAGCACACAGCTAAGTTCACAGGAGCCCTGCCAAACGCCCAAAATCACATGCCACATTACACCATGTGGTTTTGTACACCTTCCCCTGAGTTCCCGGATTGATAAATAAATTATTATTGCATCTACTCCCTGGCATCCACTGCTCTTCCTCAGAAATCTGGTTGTCTAATTTCCACTGGACCGGGGATGGGGACAGGCAGGGCCAGAAAAGAAACTGCATGGTCTCCTCAGGGGAACCTCTCTGGTAACCCACGCGTGTGCTCTGAGACGCTGTTGCACAGTTGCCTCGCTCCCCACACCCCTAAGACGGGAGGACTTGGGTGGAGTCTCCCCCTCTCTCTATCATACACTCCTTCCTCCCTTTTTTCACCCACAAAACGTGCCTGGAAGCTCTGGTGACCGCAATGAGCACCCGCTTGCAGACGAGGAGGAAGCAAGAGTGCCTCCCACCCCACCCCCTCCCCGCCCCGCCTCCCCCCTACCCCTCCTCCCCCCGACCCCTCCCCCAACACAAGCACCCACGACCAGAACTCACATCAGCGCCTGGCTGTGCTGCCCGCGCTCGCGTCCCCATGGAACCTCAGGTGCGGCTGTGCAGGTACACCTTTCCCGAGGCCTCCAATCAGGAGAGAAGCAAGGAGGGGAGAAGAGGTGCTCACCAAGTCGTAAGCCCTGGCGTGGGGCCATGTCTACCGGGAAGAAAAGACTGCTCTGTTTTATTTGTATAAAGATACTGAATGAGCCATTGAGGCTCTGGGTGTCCAGATATATGAATTCTAAAGCAGTACAGCCCAAAAGAATTCAACCTAGTTTGAAGGAGTTTCATGATGGTAAGTTCCTACCTCCGCCAGTCATGCCAACTTACTTCTACATCAATTCATATGTCAATTCAGAATCCAGTGGCCTCATGCAGTGTAGACAGAAGGTGGGATGACTTGATGTCAGTTGGACTGGGTTTGGCCCTTGGATCTTTACCTTCATTCATTCATTCATTCATTCATTCATTCAACAAATATTTTATTAAGGACTTTCTCCATACCAGGAACAACCCTAAGTGTGGTAGGGATACCACAGTGAATAACGCAGACAAATACCCCTGCTTGCATGGTCCTTACGTTCTAGTGGAGAGAGATAATAAATAAACAAAATTAGTAAGTGAAACCTGTGGTGCGTGAGATGGTGGAAAGTGTCAGGGAGAAAGTAAGCTGGGAAAGGGGCGAGAGGGTGTTGGGAGACAGCAGTGGCAGGCAGGTGAGAGGCAGTCAGGGAGAGGGCCACACGGACGAATGGGGACAGAG